ATTCATCCCCCCCCACCCTAAGCCCTAAACCCCAAACCCTAAAACCTAACTCCCCCCCCCCCCCCCCCCCCAAGAATCCAGAGCTCATTTGCAGAACCGAGCCCCTGGCCATCAGTGCCAGCGTGTATGAGGACAGTAATCCTCAAGGGTCTGCGATAAGGCAATTTTGTTGTGTAAAAATCTGCTTAAAGGCTGACATTACCTCCCTTGATTATTGAAGTGGTAGTTTCCCTGAATAGGGGGACCTTAATAGGATCCCCCAAACCCTTAATTTTGGGACACTCCCAGGGTTGAGCTAGGTGGCCCTCTTCTTTACCAACAACGCCGGCACAGCGAGCCCAATAGCGCAATGCCAAGATCACGGTTTCAAGTCTCGGATCCAGCTGCAGATATGCACCTCGGCTCAGCTGACTGAGAGGCAACTTCAAAGAGTGGGAGTCGCCTTGAGTCCTGGTGGTTGGTAGGGAAGCAGGGAATAGATTGTATAAGGATTATATTCCCTCATTCCCTACTAACCATCAGTCAGGTTGTGGTTCTGTCTAAGGTCTCTGCGAATCAAGTGAGAGCTGTAGAGGGGCATCAGCCGCTGGCAACTCAACTTGCATCGGCCGGTCGAGCACGTCCGCCACAGGTTGCTGGCCATGTTTACCTTACTCATGCATAGTTGGGAATAGGGAAATGCATTCCTATAGTACTCCCTATATAACCGCCGAAGACTTTCCTATATTCCATTCCGTCATTCCCTACTAACCACCAAGAAGTTGCTGAGGCGAACTCCTCGATGCTGGCGGAACCGCCTCCAAAGTTAACTGCCTGCAAACCCAGCTGGGTGCACCTGGTAGTTTCCACCATTAAAGGGATCCCAATATAGACCCCCAAAATGCTTCAGCCCTTATTCTGGGGACGCCCCAAAAGGTACGCCTGATTTGGGAAGCTTCCACCTGGTCACAATCTTCCGCATCTGTCGATCTCGTGTAGCATGAGTTAGCTTGGTAGCTCTCTCCGGAGTCATGGGAATATAGATAGTTGCATCAATCTCAGCATCACTTTCTCCCAAGCCAGTGAAGCACGAGCCATATCCTAAGACTTCAGCATCTTCCCCCAACAGCTGCTTCGCGACCGTCTCCTGAAATGCTTTTAAGGAACTTAGACTAAGTTGTATAAGAGGGAAACTCGATTATGTGCGACATACTCGTATTATGGTAAAACCCAGAACCCAAAACCCAAAACCAACTTAATTTAAGTTCCTTAAGAGCAGCTCAGCTTCAATCTTCCTCAGAAGGTTGGCCCTCCTCACGCGGTCGCTCGGCTGTGCAGCGACTGCCGCGAGGAAGAGCTGAAGCTGCTTATCCAGTCTGTCACCACCTGCCCCAAAGCTGGATAACACAGGGGTGCTCTAGGGATACATAGGCGTCTATATAGGGGTACATAGGGGTATTTTGAATATGTAGATAAGAATTATACTACGTAGATATGGAGCGGTTTCCCAAAATTAAAGGTACCTTTTTGGGGGTCCCCACAATAAGGATTACTGTATTTTGCGGTCGTTATTGGGGTCCTATTGTTTAAGGAAACTACCTGCTTGCTGTAAGGAAAAAGGAACACCAAAAACGACATTCGCGGTGATGTAAAAGCCTCAACCCTAAACCTAAAGCCTGAACCCTGCAAAGGCAAAAGGCTAAAGGTTGAGGATGTTCTTGGATACGTCTCTCTGGGGTCCATTGCTTTCAGAGCTTTTCTTGGATTTCGTGGGCATGTGTAGCGTTTAGGGCGCACCTGCACGCAGAGCCCATGATTGTCTTGTCCGCGTCCTGGCACGATGAGCTCCGCAAAGGTGCGCTGAAGCAACTGCCCCAAATATCAGAGCTCCTGTCATCTGTTACCCTAAACCATCCTAAACCCTAAACCCTAAATAGTAGTTTCCTTTTCTTTTCCATTATCCCTATATAACCCCATACAACCTCGAAAATATATGGTTCCCCCGCCCCAAAGATCTACCAAAGGTAGATTACATATATATATATATATGCCCTTATTCCCTACCAACCCCCATTAAGTTTATAAACCCCCCTAAGTAGATAGAATATGGGTTTGGGTATATCATATTATAATCCCCCTATACCCCATATTCTATCTACTTAAGGGGGACTGTAGCCTTTTGAGTTCTCAGCTCCCGAGGATGGAGGATGTTCTCGGCCTTCTTAGTAGTCTAGGGGCCCTTAAAGTGGATATGGGGGTTATCTAGCGGTTGTATAGGGGTTATGTAGGGGTTATGGGGGGGGGTTATGATGGGGACAACGGAGAAGAAAATGGAGGTTACACTTTAGGGTTTAGGGCTTGGGGGGCTTCCTAAAATTAGGGGTAGCCTTAAGGATACAGGGCCCGGGACTAGGGCCACTACTATAGCTCCACACCTCTAACATGTAAGTAAGCGTCATCCCTCTACTTCAGCAGCTGGAGGTTCAGGGTAGTTCTAACCACGTAGGCTTGCAGCTAAACCTCTATCGGTTCCTCAAGCCGGCCTGCGCGCTTGGCATCCAATTCCTTTGGAAAGCATGGCCGTCTGCGGTCTGAGCTGCCAGCCGGCCCCGATCCACGAAACGTCCCAATTTGGTGGCTTGGCACAATCAGGGCCATCTCGCAGATTGAGAACATGCAACTTTTGAAAGGGTAAATCTATGGAGCCAGCACCATGAAACATGAGAGCGTTGCAGCAACAAAGGCTCATACTGGATCAAAAGGCTCATACTGGATCAAACTGCTGGAGGAAGTGCACACGCTGTAAGCTCTGACGCGTGGAAGGGGTATGCTGAAGATGGCCAGAGCAGACATACAGCAAGTTCTGCCCTAAGATTGCCAAAGCAGACAGTAAAAAGTAAAAACAACGAAAACTTTCTGCGTGGCTGAGATTAGGAAACATTCGCTGGCTACATGAGCCATAATCTAAACTCCTTGAAGGGGGTTATATAAGGGGTTATATAGGGGACTACCATACGGGTCATGAGGAAGGGGATACTAGGACTTTAGACTATAACGCTTTTATCCTTATAACATCCAGTTTCCATTTCATTTTCAAGTTTGTTTTCCATTTGATTGTTCAATATTGGAGTGATATATCCCTAAATCCAAAACCCCAAATCCTAAATCGTAAACCCTACGCCTAAAATCCTAAACACTAAGCCTTGAACCCTAAACCATAGATCCTGAATCCTTAACCCTAAACCCTCAACGCTATATATATATATATATATGTGTACAGATCTATTTTTCGCACATGATGCCCCAATACGCGAAGGCATCGTGGTGCCGGTAGGACTAAAGCGTCGTCTGGGGGTTTTAAGGGTTGGGGGGTTTAGGGGTTTAGGGGTTTTAAGGGTTTAGGGTTAGGGGTTTAGGGTTTGGGGGTTTTAAGGGCTTTACTGATTTGGGGGTTTCGGGGTTTAGGGATAGGGGTTTGGGGGCTTAGGGTTCAGGGTTGTACACACCTTGCCCCACTTGCCCTCTTGCCCTTCCTACCCCACCTGCCCCCTCCCCCTTGCCGCACTCGCCCCGCTTGCCCTGCTCCACTCGCCCTCACATGGGGCAAGCGGCGACTGGGGAAATATAAACCCTATAAACTACCCTATAATCCCAGTTTCCATTTCATTTTCCATTTTCTTTTCCATTTGATTCTCCATTATAGGGGGATAATAACCCCAATATAACCCCAACATAACCCCAACATAACCCCAACATATTCCCTAGTTTGGGGGTTGGGGCAAGTGGGACAAATGAGACGAGTGCAGCGAGGGGATTGGAGCCAGTGGAGCAAGCGGAGGGCAGTCCTTACATGTCTGCCTGCGATGGGAAGGGAAGAATTTATAGAAACACGTAAACAGCGCGCAAGACTGTGATCCCTATGCTAAAGTCGTGAAACACTTCCTCCAAAACCCTTAGGAATGCAACAACCATGGCGCATTCAGGGGACATGCCGCACAGAAAAATCTCTATCGCTCGAAAGCAGCTCGCAAAGCAAGCGTTTGAGAGGTCGCAAGATGGGCAGAGCAGAATGGCAAGAGAAGGGACGTTGCTGTCAATCAATGCACACACCATTAGGGCTATTTCGGGGTGATATAGGGATTCCACATCACAACCATCAGTTGTCAGCCATACCTGAGGTGAAGGCGCGTGTGCGGGAAAATCGTCGCACTGGAAATGGTTGTAGCCATCTCCCTGAAGTTCAGGCACAAAGACTCGCCCTATAACCAAAAAATGATCTTAATGGGAACCCCAAACCGGCACCCCCCAAGAATATACTAGGAATGTGATTAGGGATATACGGGCCGTGGTACTTATGCTCTTACTATATTCCTAGTATGTGCTTGGGGTTTCCTGTTTTGGGGTTTCACTTAAAATCCTTAAAAACTGAACCCGAATCCCTAAACCCTAAACCCTAGACCCGAATCCCTAAACCCTAATCC